TATCTGCGGGTGCAGATTCCGGCGTACCCTGGCTTATGAGTGGGCTACGAATGCCCCAAGACGCTTCCATGAAGGCCAGATAACTCCGCTGAGTGGGCGGACTTGGAGGACAAACGTCGAGTAACAAAACATGGCGTGAACATACATTTTCGGAGGTCCGCGCTGATTTCTCGGCGGGGTCCGAGAAGATGGTCACATGCGACTTTTCCGCCCCCCCCCGAGAAAGCAGGTTGCTCAGAAGAAAGGAGGGGGAAGCCAGGGATACACCTTTAGGACGCTATTCGGACGCACTCCTAGCGAGGATGGACGCCGCCCCATCGTATATCCCAGAGTTGGGAACAACATGTCTGGTCCAGTCGACAAGCCCCCAAAGTCGGATATTGGGGGACGCCGTACCCCTCGTTGGATGGGGTCGGAGGATCCCGCCGAACCGCCGATGCCTCGGCGATTGCTCTCGGTGTGCAGCCCGATAGTTTCGACGCCGACGGTGCCGGTGCGTCGCCGACGTCGGCGATGCATCGCCGACGCGGTGCAGTCCTTCGACCCACTCCTACCCTTTTGGAGAGGCCTCCAGAGGCTGCGGAGGGGGTGCAGGTGCCGCTGCTTCGCAGTAACTCTCCAGGTGGTAAGGCTTCGGGCTGCGCGCAGACAGTCCCCCAGCTACAGTCAACCCGCTCTAGCGAGGATGGGCAACTGTCCCAAGGGTACCCTTGCATCCTTGCCTCCTCGGTCCATCCTTGGCCGCTTTCGTTGGCCGCGCCCCGCTCGACACGCTCCGGAATGGGCGCCCGAGGCCCTTGCATCCTTATTGCGCATCCTGATGATTCGGGCCGACTGTAGCCCCAGCGTGTCCCAACAGGCCCCCCGCGAGTAGTCCGCGCCGGCCTCGACAGGCTCGCAGAGATTAGCCCAGGGGCGGTCGCAGCACCCTCTCGCGCCGCCGCCCGCAGCGCCCCTGGAGCGCCCCGCGCTCCGGGGGTGATGTTTCGAGACTGCCCTGGATACCAGGGGGGGCCTGTGGAGACCAGCTGGGACTGCTCGGGGGTGCCTGTGGGTGGGGGGAACGAACAATGACATAAACATATACATTTCGGAGGTCCGCGCGGATTTCTCGGATCGGCGCTGGGGCCCCCTGGCGGGGCCTCCGGCGCCGCACCTGGCGCGCTCCGCGCGCCAGGGAGGGGGTCCGGCGTGGACCTAAGAACTCCGCGCGGACCTTTGAGTTTTGATGTGTATGATATTTTTCGTTTCCCGGTGTGGAGGCCAGCTGGGACTACAGCCAAGCCGCACAGTAAGGACGGCCACCTTCCCAAGGGCATCCTCGCATCCTTGCCCCCTCGGCCCATCCCCAGCGACCCTCGCTGGCCAACCTCGTCCGACAAACGCTACTCCGAGTTTCTTAATAAGCGTCGGGGGGGCGTAACCCCCGCCGACAGCCCCCCATCGACCCCCGTCGCGTGTGGCAACCGCGCGCCGAAAGCGCTCCGACCCCCGTCGCGGCGCGTCGACGAGGCCAGGTTGACCCCCGTCAAGGGGGAAACCTCCCCACGCTTTTTGAGAAACCCAGAGTAACATGGCCCTCCGAGGCCCTCGCGTCCTTACCGCGCACCCTTACGGCACGGGTCGACTGTTCCCGGGGCGGCCTGCGGAGGCAGGCCGGGAGGACCATGGGCCGGCCGCCGGTACGCAACCCATGACGGGCCCGTTCTCCACCACCACCACCATAAGTTTTGCGAGAGGTCCAGCAGCTGCCCCCCCCCCGCACTGACCCGTAGGGACTCGCCCTCGCAAGGTAGCGAGCCTCGCTTACGGGGCCTCCTCGGAGCTCGTTCCTTAGAGCATCGGGGTACGCCCCCTGCCGGCCCCATGAGAAGTCTGGGCCTGCGGCAAATCCCACTCGCAGGGCATTTTGCACGTCGTACCCCACGGCTCCTTAGCGGGCGTTTCGACGCTGACCCCCTCATGCGGATGTCCTGTTTTGTCTTGTCCCCCATCTTCCTCTTCAACCTGCACCTCTTTCAAACAGGTGGAGGATGAGGAGGAGGAGGGGGGAGAAGAGGAGGAGGAGGACCCCCTCCCCCTCCTGCTTGTGGTGGTGGCGGTGGGAGACCAGCCCACCAGACCAGAGCCTCAGCGGCCGCCGACGCCGCAGTGCTCCGCAGGCCTCTCCCGGGATGCACCCGGGCCAGAGCTTCGAGGCCCGTCCAGCCGTGGAGACGACGGCCTGCCTCCCAGCAGGCCCAGAAAAAACCACGACGCGCAGGGGAAGGCACCGAGACGTGTGAGGCGTTCCGGAGAGGGCCTCGCCTTCGAGGATCAGAGGGGGCTGCCGTCTCTTTCGCGGCGGAGGGCGGCGGAAGGTCGGCGAAAGCAAGCCGAGGCCGCTTCCGCGGACTTGGTAGGCCGGCGGAAGGCGGCGGAAGTAGAAGCTGCCCCCCAAGGGATGAAAAAGGTTTTTGTTTGGTTTCAAGGTTTCCGAGGTCGCCCATTTGATTGTTTTGTTTTTGCGATACGGGGTCCCCAGGGCCAGTTGTTCATCCCAAGCTGTTTCTTGATGCCTTGGGGGTCTGGCGAGGGCCGAAGACGGCCAACCAAAAAATCATGCCGAGAGTCAAGCAGGGGCGGAGCGTCTTGGACTGCCTGTAGGCCTACCAACCAATGTGTTCCGAGTTTGTTTTTGTGGTTCGCGCGTGAAGTTCTTAGAACATGTCTGGCTGAAACCGTCTTGTTTTGGCTACGCCGGCTGCGTCGTATAAAGAAAGGCATCGCTCCTGCTCCGGCTCCGAGAATGTGTCGTGGCAGTGAGGCCACGAGGGCTGCTAGGACGGGGGGCCCCTGTTCCACGGAGGCCCTGCACGCCTCGGCGCCTCAGAAACATGTGGTGGTTCGCGCGAGCTGTTCGCCTCGCCCCCCTCTGTGCCGCGGAGGCGCTGCGCGTCTCGGCGCGGCGGCCGCCGCCGGCGCTGCCGGCGGCCATCTTCGCGCCGCGCCGTGGCGACGGCGACGCCTCGCCGTCGGGCGGCGCCGCGTCCACGCCGGGCAGCGGCTCGGCGCGGAGCGCGGGGGCCCCAGGCGGCGCCGAGGGCGGCGCGAGCGGCAGGGCGGGGGCCCGCGACGGCGCCTCCAGCGTGGCCGCGCGGCGCGAGCGGCAGCAGAGGGGGGGAGAAGCACGCCGCAGGCAGAAGCTTCAGGCGGGCGTGTGCCTCTGCAGGAGGAGTCTTCACACATGGTCAACAAACTAGTCTGGGACTATTTTGTTGACCATGTTTTGATGTGTCACATTGGGGAGCATTTGTGGAGTACGTTTCTTTTGCTTCAAGCTTCGCCTGCAGGAAGGCATGCCTCGGGCGTGTCCCTCTACAGGAGGGCGTGTCCCTCTACAGGAGGATTCTTCACACATAGTCAAAGAATAGTCTGGGGCTATGTTTAAAACTATTGTTTAACATTGTGGATACTTTGCTGATTTTTTCTTTTGCTTCAAGACTCGCCTGCAGGAAGACATGCCCGACCGAACGCTCCACGCGGATTGCTTGGATCCGCGCTGGGCCGCCCCAGCGCTGGCGCGCCCCGCGCGCCAGGGAGGGAGGCTCCCCAGCGCAGGTCCAGGAAAGCCGCGCGGGCCGTCGAAAGTTTACACGCCGGTCGTTGACAGTAGGTATTTTCGGATTCCCAGATCCCAATCTGCTTCAAGCGCCTTCGTACTTCAAGAATCGATCTGCTATTGCTGAGGTTTGTCATTCTCTTGGAGGGCCTGGACCCAATTCACTATATCCGCCTTCCTACTTCATGTTTTTACCTACTCCTTCCGACCGACGTGTATGTGCGTGGCGTTTTTTCTCTTTCCAGGCAGGGCGGGGTGGGCTTCGGCGTGCCAGTGGTCCCCGGGCTTGCGGGGGGAGGGATTGGCATCACTTGCCCCCTTGCAGAATCCACTCCTGGACTGCCCATAGTTATTAGCTTTGTCTGAGCTTGGTCGGGCCTTCTTTGAACGACAGCTTCTGCCCAGGGTCGATCGCGTTTGCAGGCAAGACGCTGGAATGAGGGCTGCTTTGGGTTCGGATGGGGCTCGCTGTTCCTGAGGTCATGCCGTGGCTGCTCCTCAAGCCCATGCGGGGATTCATCCGCAACCACCGCCTGGGGGGTCGATCTTCGCGGACCTCCACAGGCGGCGGATATGGATTAATTCGGCCTTCCGGGTGCCAAAATCTATCCACATCCAGCGCCCGCTGGGGCACCAGGACATCGGTTCCCAAGCGGTGGAATCCCCGCCTCGCACTCAAGCCCTCCTCGTGCACCCAGGCGCTGTTGGCCCCAAAGAGGGGCTCCGTCCCTTGCTTAGCGTCCCTTATATCAGTAGCCCTCCTGCAGAGAAGGAGAGAAGACTGACCCTGAGATGCATGGCGTTCGGCCGCAAATCATGGAAGCCCTGTGTACCGATGCAATTCCGCAGTTGGAGCGTACTGGCGTCTCAGCGTCTGGAAGTCGAAGAGGTAGCGCCAATGTAGCATCGACTGGCGTCGATTCAGCCTCGACCAGCGTCGGCTCGCAAGAGCCAACAAGATGGTACGGGAGGCTCCCATGAATTTCCTCATGACATGGCGTCGCATGGTGTTGCCACGGGCGATTATTTTGCCGTGTGTCGGGACCCGGGGTCTCCTCACGGATCGGCACGGGCCGAACATAAGAGGGGTGCAGACAGGTGGGGCTCGGGGCTTCGGCCCAGCTTTTTGCGCGGGGCTGCAGCTTCTTGTGCCGTGGCGTCGGCTCCCAGGGCTTTTCGGCGTGCCGCTGGCCCCCAGGGAACAGAGCGTCGGAGCTCTGGCTCAGCATGTCGCGCCGCCCATTCTCGGGGGAGCGTAAGACCCGGGTTTGCCGGGACTCGGGTTCGCCATCGTTTTTTGACGACCGCGCCTCGGATTTTGACGAGGAGGAGTTTCGTGGGATGTCTGCAGCGGGAGGCCTCGTCAAAATGCAGGCTCGGCCTCGTCATTTTTTTGACGACCTCGTCGGGGATTTCCGAGTCCCCCGTACCCGGGTCTTACGTCTCCCCGATAAGCAAAAGTTCCAGACCGTAGGCTCGGGGGGGACGCATCGACCCCCGATCGCCCATTCCTCGCCGATGTGGGGGCCGACAGCCCACCTCGCCCTGGAGCGTTCGTGTGCGCTGTCGGGGGCCTAGCGCCGACCTGTTGGCGACGTGTTGCCAACGCCAGGTCGATGTAGTCCCCCTGAATCGCTCACGTCCCCCTCCTCGTCGCCCCGCATGGATTCGCCTCGAAACTCCTTGGCAGACTGCGCAGCTGGAGAGGTCTGCGGAGTGGCGCCTGTCAGCGATACTCCGAGTTTCTGCATCAGCGTCAAGGGGGCGTCACCCCCGCCGACAGCCCCACATCGACCCCCGTCGCGAGCAGCCACCGCGCGCCGAAAGCGCTCCGACCCCCGTCGCGACGCGACGACGAGGCGAGGTTGACCCCCGTCGGGGGGGTACGGTAGGTTCGCGTCGTGTCGACCCTCGTCGACCTCGCCGCGGGCGTTCAAGGTGGAACGCCGCCAGTGGCCCAGAATCGACTAACACGAAACGATTGGGCGATCGACGAGCCGCCGATCGTTCAAGGTTCAACGATCCACGCCGTGTCAGAAACCAGCGCCGGGGTCGTCACGACACGAACCTGCAGTGCCCCCCACACGCTACTCGAGAAACCCATGGCAGCCTTCCGGACCCCCGCAGGTCCGCCCGGAGCCGGGGCGCGTGTGGTTCAACTCGCCGATGAACTCGGCGGTGGACATCACGCCCTACTCGAAGGCCCAGGGGGCCGTGCCACAGCCGGGGCCTCTACCGGGGAACCGAAAAATAGCACAAACATAAAAACGCTGATTCACGAAGGTGAAGCAAAGTTAGCACTGCTTGCCCCATGCGTGTGCTGTCTTCCAGCCCTCTGCCTCTTCCCCCCTTCCCTGTGCAGCTGCAGCAGTTTCGGATCAGGGGGGACCGCTTGTCCCACCCTCCCACCCCTTTTTCTGCCTGCCCCCGCTGGGGCGCCGGTGGCAGTCCGCGCGGCGAGGTGCCGCTGCACCTCGCTCTTGGCACTGTGGCTTGTGCAATGTAAAAAGAATGGGAGGGGAGCGGGCTAACATAGAACGCGAGGGCCTCTGAGGACCACGTTAGCTCTACAGGAGGAATATTCAAAAATAGTCAAAACATAGTGAAGGGACCATTTCTTCATCATTTTTTTCAATTTGGGGGCATGTGTTGCGAATGTTTGCATTTTCGTCCAAAACCCCCTTGTAGGAGTGCAGGCCCGACTTAACCTTATTCTCTAGCAGGAGGAGGAGGAGGAGGAGGAGCAGGAGGAGGAGGGGGAGCGGGAGGAGATTTCCGAGATTTTCCCCCAGGACGACGTCCCCTCCCTTCCTGCCTGCGGACCTGCAGGGGCGGCGGCGGCCGCGGGCCTCCTCACGGCCTCTCAGGCCTCGCCGCAGGCCTCCATGGAGCCGCAGGTCACCTCGTCCAGGATGATGCTGAGCTTCATCCTGGCCTTGTCCATGTACGAGGGCCCGCTGCCGTCGCACTTGTCGTGATCTCACTTCCCAATGCTGGTGCGTCAGTCAGTGCTGTCGTCGTGCACACTGTGCTGAGCTGTCAGTCTGTGCTAGTAGCGTCAGACTGTGTTGCGTAGTGCTAGTTCGTGCTCGGTGCCGTCGCAGCCCTTGCACTACTTGAAGATGCTGGAGTCGTCGTAGCTGTGTTCGTCGGTTGTTCGTTGGCGTGCTTCCTTCTTGCCCTTACCACATAATCGGCTCTTGACTTAGGTGGAGGTGGCGTACACTCCTGTCCAATCTTCTCCGATATGTAGTGCTTCGCCTCACTGCCGCATTTGTAGCAATAGTACCCGTGGTCCCGCTTGTGCCATTCCATCTGGTGGGAGCTGTGTGCTTGGCGTCCTTTGAGAGTTAGTGGTGGTTTCTTAGCTGTCGTCGTGTTGCTGCATGGGGAGAGAAGCCACCATCTTGCTGTCGTTCTTCGTCGGCGTAGGACTGACTGCGCGCATGCCCTGCAGCGCCATCCCGTCGGAGTCTGTTGTACTTGGTGCAAGCTCTGTGTCGCCAACTGGTCCAGCGTTGGTGCAGGTGGTCTTTGTAAATTGGCTTCTCTCCTTAGCTTCGCTCGATCTTCCCAGTTCATTGGTGGTCGTCTTTCCATGCAGTCCAGGGTGGCTTGTGTGATGCGCTGTCTGACTAGGTTGCCTACCGCTCGCACCCACTCGTAGCATCCGAGTTGTGCTGCTGGTATGGCGTGTTCTTCTGCTGCTTTGTCGGCTTGTTCGTCTGCCACTCTGTTGCCGAGCCACGCCCATTCTGGGATATCTCTTCGTCGAGCGTCTTCCCATTCGAGGTGGCTCTGCATATGTCTTATCGTGATGGATTCGTTTCCTCCTCCCCGCTGGTCGATGGCGTCCTTTATCCTCATCCAGATGTCGCCGTTGCCGAAGTGGTACGTTTCGGTCCTGTGCCGTCTGCGTCTCCAGTTCTTCGCCAGTACTCCTGAGTCCGTCCAGTAGATGATGGGACCCTGCGAGTTCTGCAACACGCTGAGTAGTGCCCACATCTCCGCTCGGTTGTTCGTCTGTCTTGGTCCAGGTAGTGGACCCCGCATAGTTGCTCGTACAGTTGTGTGGTCCATGCAAGCCCATCCCCATCCGCACCTGCGGTACCGTCGGTCCGCTGACATGGCTCCTCCGCTGCCGTCACCGCAGAAGTGTAGTGGGATGTCGTCTGCGATCAGTTGTCCGTGCAGTATGTCGCCGTCGCAGGTGTGCGAGGGTTCCGTATTGCATGGTGGTGGGCAGGACATGGGTCGTGGGGTGATGCTTCTGAGCCAGAAGGCTGCGTTCGTCTCGATGCCCTCCTTTGCTCGCTCCTTGAGGTGCTCTGTTCGTTCGTATATGATGTGCTGTCTTCTTTGTGTGCAGTCTCCCCAGATGCGGTGGTAGTCGTCGTCAGGCGCTCCACATTCGCATAGGTTGGACGTGCCGTAGGCGTCTGCGATGCGCTGCCGTGGCCAAGTCCCAGCGCATGCAGCTGCCAAGAGTGCTCCGTGCCGTTGGTGTTTGCCCCGTCGGTCGAGGTGCTGGAGGTGGCTGATGAGGTCTTGCACGCCAGCGCCGTTCTCGAGGCCGCTGCCGTTGTGGTGCTTGCTGGCCTGCCTCCATTGCTGAAGCTCGACCTGGCTGGTCAGCGCGTCAATGACGTCGGTTGGGTCTCCGTGTGCGTCCTCCTCCCTGAGCAGCCACCCGTCGCCCTGGGGGTCAACCCAGTAGTCGGCGCGCTGGAGGTCCCAGCCCAGGTCCTTCAGCGTGTTGATGAGTGCGGCGATGATGCCGCGTCTGCGTTGCCATCGTAGATCATGTGGTTGTTGCTGCAGTCTGGACTTGATCTTCGGCCACGCTCGTCGAATACGTTGTCGTACTTCGTGGGATGCCGTCCACATATCAAACCATGCTGTAAAGTGTGCTTTAATAATAGATACTTCAGGATCTGCTCCTTCAACTGCGATGAGGGTTGTCAGGCATCTGCCTGGCCAAGCTCGTCGTAGTGCTCGTGCGTAGTGTCGTCGTGTCTGCAGTCTCTCGTTGGGCGATGCTCCGTACGCCTTAGCTCCGTACAGCAGGGATGCCATGGCTCCTTGGGCTAGCACTCCTCTCACTCTGCTTCGTCTGGCCCTTCTGAAACGGGTGCGGACCAGGTTCATTATTGCCCGGGCCTTCTTTTTGCGTGCGTGGTGTGTCCGTCGTAGTGTGCATGTACGGTTGCCCCTGTCGATGCCGAGGTCTCGCCCTTCAGCGATGCCGTCGATGTGGATGTTGAGGCCCGCAAGTCGTTTGATGGTCTCCTTGGTGTCCTTCATGTGCGTCGTGATGATGACTGACTTTGCTGTGACCTCAAGTCCTTGCTGTTGTAGAGCTTCGTGTAGCGTCTTGGTCGAGTCGACGGCGTCTCGCACCAGGGTATCTTTGGAACCGTACAGCTGGACACCGATGTCGTCGAACCATGTTCTAGGCTGGGTCTTTGTAATTTTGCTGCTGTACTGTCGTAGGACGACGTAGATCAATGCTCGCGCGAGGTTGTTCGAGTGCCTGGCCCCTGCCAAAATGGAGCGGCTTGCATATACCGGCTCGCTGTAGCAGCCGTTGAGGCGCAGGAATCGTGCCGAGCGGTGCATCTGCGTGGAGAGCGCGAGGACCTTGCTGGGGAATCCGAATTGGTTTGCGGCCATGGCGATCTTGGGGAAACTGAGCGAGTCGTAGAACCTCTTGGTGTCGAGGAGCGTCGTCGCTGCCCGAATGCTGTAGGCGTCCGCGATCTCGTCCCCCAATGCTCGCAGCATGGCTTCTCGTAGGCAGCTGTTGCCCGCGACCGCTGCATCCCATGGTTCCTCTATCTCTTTAGCCCATAGTCGTATCCTGTCCCGATGCATGAGCTCCCAGGTTCGGCAGATCCAAGGCAGTAGTGCCAGTGCACGGTCGCCTCCGTCGGCGAGTGCGCTTGCTCCTTTGGCGGTGGCTGGTTTGGGCTGGATCATGACTATGGACTGGAGTGCTTGCCACGGCCATGTCACGTCTCGGTCGATGGTGTTCAGTAGCTGGATTATCGCGTCTCTACCTGCTGCTGGTAGTCGTCGAGCGTCGCTAGTGTTTAGTCGGTCCGCGCCTCGTCCCTTGCCAGGTATGCCGACGATGGCCTCGTCGAATTGCTCCCTGCTCCATGTCGTGGTTGGGGTCGTCAAGGCTTGTTCTCGTAGGTCCTTGAGCAGCTGGGTGTGAGTGATGTGGTCGCCGTGGGCGTCGCTCCAGATGTTGCTGAACGTCGTGTGCTTGAGGTTTGTACGCTCAATTGTGGAGGTCGCTGTCACGGTGCCCGGTGCCTTCGATCATTTCGTCTGCATGTCGCATGCTGGGCTTAGTCATCCTGTGCATGGTGCCGTTGTCGCAGCTGTTGGCTAGCCAAGTTGTGTAGTCGCGCGCGTTGCATCTCAAGTCACGCTTGATCGCTTGGATTGCTTCTTGCGCTGCCTGCGTAGCCATGCCCTCGATGGTGTCGGTAGCTACGTCCTGGATGTTGGTGAGTCGGTCTCTCCAAAGTGCTCGGTGCAATCTTGCGGTGCTGGTTGATTTGGCTCCTGCTGATGGTACACCGTCGAGCGCCAGGTGTCGGCAACAAGCTTCCAGGGCGTGTACTTCTTCGTGTCCGACTCCTCTTTGTCTTAGACGGTGCAGCGCCGTGAGGGAGGATTCCGCGCGAGCCCACCAGTTGGCCGTGTAAGTGGCATATCTTGGTCGTCGTATCCCGCGTTCTTTTTGGATGTGTTGCTTGAGCTGGTAAGGCTGTCCTCTTCCTCTGTTGCGCTTCTGCTCGCTCTCGTGGATCCTGTATGCCTTGCAATAGAAGCTCTCCATGTGCTGCATGGGCGTGTGGAAGATGTGGCTGGCTCCGTGGTGAGCTTCATGGATTGCCTGGTATGCTGCGCTGTCCGTGATGTATGTGGGTGCTGCAATCGCAGTAGAAGTGTTGTGGTCGTACCCGATCTCGCCCCAGAGCTCATGCATGGTTCTAGTGTCGACGTCGGGCGCTTGTGCTGGTTGTTGCTTCTGCTCGTCCTTCTGCTCGTCCTTCTTGCTCGTGAAGTAGTACTCGAGCTCGCTGTCGTTGTCATACTCTGCTTCGATGGGTACGCCTTCGGCTTCCCCCTGATCGTGTGGTGGGCCTTCTCCGTCCATGTCGTCGCCCAAGGGGTCGGCGTTAGTTTCTTCGAAGTCCATGGGGTCGAAGTCCTCGTCCATTGTCGATCTGGGTCTCGTGCCTGCTGCTGTCGTTGCTGTCGTGCTTGGATGTCTTGTCCAACCATTCGGCGACAGTGCCTCCCATCTTTGGTTCATGAAATCGCCATCGTCGAAATTGCCGCCTTGTGTGGTGTTGTTCTCGTAGTTGTTGCTGTCTTGCGTGCTGGTGTGCGACTTGGTTTGGTGGTTGCCGTGGTAGTCGCGGGTGTCGGAATGGATGTGGCATGGTCGGCTCCCGAGTGAGGTTCATCGTGACCTCGCCTTTCAGCGTGATGGCCTGGCCGATGTGTGGTCCCCATGGGACGTCGCTGACTGGTCTCAATGGGTGCATGTGTTGTCGAGCCGAAGGGCTGACCACCAGGTAGTCAATGGGCGATGGCGTCGCTTCCTTCTTGAAGCACGTGGCCGCCTGATCGCCGATGGTGAGAATGTTGCCTCCTAGCGCTTCTGGCCATCCTGAGGCGTTGACTGCTGATGGCGTGACGTTGAAATCACCTGCCAATATCCAAGGAAGATTCAGTATGCGCAGAAACTGTCCGATCTCCGTCAGCCTGTCCGCGTTGGTGCCTGACTTGAGGGACTGCTTGGTCTCCAGGTAGACACTGATGACGACAATGGAGTAACCCTTCATGCCAGAGCATCGGGATCCAGTCCGTGAAGTTGAGGAGCTCGGCCCTGGCGAGAGGTGATGTGCCTGCCGTCGAGGACGACGCGCTGCCCTTCACCGCCATCTCGCGGAAAAACTTGGTTCTAAAGTTGTTCTTCACCATTGCAGTCACCCCGCCATGGGAGCCCTTCTCCGATGTCCTCGACTGCCGTGAAGCTGAAAAAAACAAGCTTTGAGTCCCATCTTTGCGAGAGTTGCCTCGATATGTTGGAGCTCGTGGTGCTTGAGGTGCGTTTCCTGCAACAAGTAGCCGTCGTACAGAGCCCGTCCTCTGGGTCGGTGCGCTAGTAGACCATCCCGTAGCCACTTAGTTACCTTTGGCCCCCATGTAGTGATATTGCCAACAAATATTGGTCGCTGCTCTGGGGTGGCCGAGCGGTTGGCTGTCATGCCACCCCGCAGTTTCCCCTCGCGGATCTGGCGGAGGAGCTCATCTCGCTGCTCTGGTGTTGTAGGGGTCCCTTCAGCGGGCGACGGTGCTGGCGTACTCGAAGGTGCGCTTGCCGAAGCTGCTGAGGATGCGGCTGTCTGCTGCTGCTGTTGCTGCTGCTGGTATGTGGTCTTGCGCTTCTTGGCTTCCCTGAGCCTCGTCGCGTCGGCCATGGCCTTCGCCTTGGCCTCGTCTATGCGCGCCTTGATCTGGCCCGCGTAGGTCTGCTTTCCCGCCTGTAGGTCCCTGATGGCCGCCTGCTTGGCCGCCAAGATCTCCGTCTTCAGCTCCTCGTCCTCGTCGCCCTGCAGCATGTCCTCCATGTCTATGTCGATGACCCCGTTATGCTGCAGCTCGTGCTCGGAGGAGTGCAAGAGCTGCTCCATGAGACTCTTCGGCTTGCCCTCCATCAAAATCTCGTTCAGGTTGGCCTTCGCCTGCTCGAGCGCTTTGCCCTTCTCGATCATGTCCTCGCACGCCTTCGCGACTAGTCCCTGCAGTCGGCTGTGCTCGTCGCAGGCCTTGTGGAATTCGTTGTAGGCAACCTCCTGCGCCTTCGCCGCTGCAGTGCATCGTAGCTCCGCAGGTTGCTGAGGTTGCAGTGGTTGGAGCGTTTGGGCGAGCGCCGTCAACTGTGTGCCCAGCGCTGTCACTGCTGCATTGGCACCCAAGCCCATCTGCTGGAGTTGTTGACCCAGTGCCGTCATCATCTTAGTCATCTTGACCAGCTTGTTGCAGTGCCAGCATTTCCATCCGTTCTTGGCCAACGTGCTGTCGTAGGTCCACTTGTTGCAGCTGCGGCACACGGAGTACTGCGACCCTTCTCGGCGCGCCATCACGATGCCGTCGGCGGTCGGTGGGCTGCTAGATCGGGCCATGGAGGCTGCTCGTCCCGTGCGCGGCCTCCGGGGGGCCCCTCTCCCCGGGCCACGGGGCTGCAGAAAGAACGGCTCGGGGTGAAAACGTTCGAGGCCTGGGGACAAAAGCACACAGACACAATTCATCGTCGATTCCCCGGAAAATATGGGAAAATATTGGAAGTGGGGGGGGAGGCAAAAACCCCGAAGGTGTGGGGAAATATGGGGAATAATGTTTTTTTGTGTGTGTATTTATTTGTTTGTCCCAGGGCCTTGAGACACTAGAGGCCTGGGGAAAAAATGATAATTATGCCGTCTTATAGATTCTGGAGACGTAAGACCGTAAGACTCGAAGAAGCCGGACCTTGGGTTTTCCGACGACTTTTGCCGAGCGCCCCCTGGACTCTGACGGTCCCGCTTGTCCGTGGGAGGCTTGCAGCGGGAGCTCGCGGCAAATGTTTTCAGCTTTGGCCTCGTCATTGGTTCATGATGGCCCCGTCCTGCCAGCCCGAGTCCCGAGTCCCCCGTACCCGAGTCTTACGTTTCCCCGATACTGCAGCAGAGCGCAAGGCTGCGGATGTGCGGGTTGTGCACCGCAGTCGGCGTCCAGCCACGGCCGTCCTGGGACCCGCGGAAGTTGTGCGCAGCAGGCCTTCCTGGCCTCGGCCAGCGGGGCGGAGGCCACCGCGTGGCAGGGCCCAGGCTAGCCTTGTGCCCAGGCACGGCGGCGGCGGTGGTGGTGGTGGCGGTGTGCAGGAGCCTGCGGAGTGTGTAGGGCTCCTCCGATTCGATTCGGTTCGGTGTCGATGGCTTCCGATTCCGATGCGACTCGACTTCGGATTCCGACTTGGATTCCGATCTCTCAGTGGAATCCTGCTAGCCTGCCGCTTTCTGCCGATTCGACTGCTCCCGACTCGGATGCCGATTTCCGCCGATCCGGTTCATTTCGATCGCTGATCCGAGCTATCGATTCGATGTTGGGCCTCCATTTGTGTTGTATCTCTTGCTCGGAGGAAGGCCGGCGTAAGCCGTCGGAAGCAACAGCTGCGCTCCCGACAGGCGTCACCATTTGTGGGTGCGCGGTCTTCGTTGAGCAGGGACCGACCGCGCCGGAATTCATATAGGCCGCTACGACATGCCCTCACAACCCCCAATAACGCTCGAAAAACAGAAACAAGGTTTTTATAACATAGACCCACTGTGCTAACACAAGACCGTCTCCGCCAGACTTGTTCTGGGAACACTTGGCGCAAACCACTGGAGGTTCCTGGAACATCCTAGCTGGCGGGCCTGGACAGGCAAGCGGGGACGCCTTGCCACTGCTCGAGCGTTTCCAGGATCGCCCACGTGATGTCTCCCCACCCCCCGACAGGGGGGGGCTCTGTCGAAGAAGCAAAAACATAAACATTAACTTTTGGCGCTCCGCGCTGGATTTCTCAGATCCGCGCTTTGGCCCCCGCGGCGGCGCCTCTGGCGCCGCCCTTCGCGCGCTCCTCGCGCCAGGGAGGTGGGTCTAGCGCAGATCAAAAAGAACCGCGCGGAGCGCGAAAAGATTATGTTTCCCGCATTTTTTCACATTCTACCCCCCCCCTCCCCCGTCAGAGGGGGGTCTGGGAGCACGGCTCCCCCCTCCTTGCCGCGGCCAGGTGTACGGCCAGCACCCGCGCTCCTTCCACTTCGACGGCGCGCCTTCCGGGGCCCCTCGCCACCACCGCCAGCCCTCGGAGGAGGCGAAGGTACCCATACCGCTGCAGCAGGGCTGGACCTAAACGCTTGTCTGCTGGACTTCGGCTGCGTTTGGTTGTTCGTTTTGGCAGGGAGGTGCAGGAAAACAGGTAGAGCAAAACGAGAGCGAAACGAAGAACAACGTTTAGTTCCATCCTTGCGCTACCTTGAACCCGCATAGTAAGGATGGGCAGCCTTTCCAAGGGTACCCTTGCATCCTTGCCCTTCCGGCCCATCATCAGCGACTTTTGCTTGCCAGCCTCGCTTGAAAATTGCCAACATGGCCCTCTCCAAGGCCCTTGCAACCTTACCGCGCATCCTGATGATGCGCGTCGACTGTACTCTTCGCCGGGCTTCCCCTTTGGGGGGTCCTCCTGGGAGGCCCTCGTCGCCACCGCCGGATTCGCCTCGACACCCTGGTCAGAGCGCACCCCGGGGAGAGGTCCGGGGAGCAGCGGGGTATCGGTACCTTCTTGGGCGCCCCAAGTCCAGTCGGCCCACCTCCCCCCACCAGGGGCGACCTCCCTCGCGAGGTGCGAACTGGGAGTTCATCACTTTTTTCTCGGGGGGGCGGGGGGGAAGGAAGCAGGAGGGAAGGAATGAAAACTCGTCGGGGAGGAGAGGCGAGGGAAGGGGAAGTAGGGGCGTGGGGGGAGGGAGGATGCGTGCGGGATGGACAGGATGAGGCATCGATGATGGAGTACGGTCGGAGCAAGGTGTAAGGCCGAGGTCGGTTCGGGGAGGGTCTCCTGCTGTCCTCCGCGCTTGCTGGATGCTCCTGTGCACTCTGTGGGGAGGATGCCCTCGGCTGCTCCTCAGCCTGGCCCGGCGGAGGGCCCCGGGTGCTTGGAGGCTGCTCCTCTGCCCCGGGGTCCGGCCGCATCTGGCAGGAGGGCGGGGAGGCGGCGAGGTGGCGATCCGGGGGCTCCGTCCGAGGCCCTCCGAGCCCCTCGACGCCCGGGAAGAAGGGCTCCGGCCCCTTGGTGCCCAGAGCCCAGGTGGCCTCCGGGGCGGTGGCGCTCGGCACGGCCGCGCTCCGGCGCCCCGCGGGGTCGAGAGAGCTGCGCAGAGCTGGGCCACCCGATGCGTGCACAGGGGCACGGTCAGCCCGCATCCGCCAGGATGGGCCATGTTCCCACGGGTGCCCCTTTGCATCCTCGCCCCTGCGGCCTATCCTTGGCCACTTTCGCTGGCCCACCTCGCTCGAAAAACGATAGCAGGTCCCTCCAAGGCCCTCGCATCCTGACCGCGCATCCTGACGATACGGGTCGGCTAAACGTTCGACGGTCCACGCGGATGTATTGCATCTGCGCTGGACCTCCCTCCCTGGCGCGAGGAGCGCGGCAGGGGCGACGCCGGAAGACACACGTGCACGAAGATAAACGTTCGACGGTCCACTGGAGTTCTTGCATCTGAGCTGGACCTCCCTCCCTGCCGCGAGGAGCGCGCCAGGGGCGACGCTGGGCCACTCGATACATGCCTCGAAGAAGAGGCACGTGCACAAAGGTAGATGCTCGACGCTCCAGGCGGATTTCTTCTGCACTCGTGCTGGACCTCCCTGCCGCGAGGAGCGCGCCAGGGGCGACGCCCCAGAGGTCCCGCCGGGTGGCCTCGGGGATGGCCAGCCCCCTTTCGCGTGAGGCAGAGCCCGGCAGGCCGCGGCCTCCGGGGGAGAGCACGGCCTCCCCTCCCACCGGAGCTCGGGCCTCGGCTCACCGAGCGCGCTCCACGATCCGCAGAACGCCCTCTCGCAAACGCCCGAAAAGCACATGCTCGCCTCGACGTCATGGGCGTGTAGGGCGTGCAGGTACGCGACGCGTGCAGGGCGCCCTAGAAGCGAATGGACCGGGCAGGTGCGAAAGCACGCTGCGGAGGTACCGGCAAGCGCTCCGGCTTGCAACGCTTGGGCGGGAGGCGTTGCCCAGCATCGTGCATGCTAGATCTGTCCACGCGCTTTTCGGCGCACGACCTTCGAGCGAGCGAGCGAGACTCCACGTCATAAATCGCAGATCTCCCGCGGCGGATCCAGGCTATTTGCCACCAGTTGCTTGCTGCGAGCAGCGGGGCGCGCTCGTCCACCGGCGGGCCCACGGCGGCCGTGGCGGCCGGGCCGGGGGCAGAGGGGGAGGCAAGAGAGGTGCGCTCCACTCGGGCGAAGGCAGGCACGCCCCTCTGCAGGAGGAAAGTTCAAGAACGAGTAAAGACATTCTCTGGGGGCGATGTTTGGAGTATCTTTGGCTGTTTGGGAGTACTGTTGTAACTCTTTTCGATTTTTCGCCTCAAATCCGCCCAAAAGATGCACTCCACTGGGGCGAAGTCTGCAGAGGAGAATTCAAAAAGCGTAAAAACATTATCTGGGGGCGATGTTTGGAGTATATTTGGTTGTTTGGGGAGTATTTCCGTAACTCTTCTTGATTTTTCGCCCAAGATCCGCCTGCAGGGGGACGTGCCCGACCTCAGGCCTGGTGCGTCATTCCCTGAGTTGGGATCCGAAGCGCCTGGGATGCTGGCCCCAAGGCAAAACACGGCGGAGAAGGCCCAGGGCGGAGAAGGGAGGCGCAGGTTGCAGCCCCAGGCCTGTTTGAGCAGCGGCGGGCATTTCGGCACGTCGCGCTGCAGCTGACGCCTGAGCGTGGCTGATGTGCTGGGTGAAGCCGCTTGGACCATGCACTGAGCTGCCGCTTGACCAGAGATCTGGTCCGTTCCATTCATGTTCGTCTCCATGCCTGCAGTGTTTGCGTCGTATGTTTTTCTGTTTGCTTCTTCTTCTTCTTCTTCTTCTTATATCTACACACATGTATATGAAAACACCTCCATCGGAGGCGTGTAGGAGGTGTGGCGCTAGGTTTGTTAGTATGGCTCCCTCGGGGAGGGCACCATGGTGGCACGGTGCCGGCAGCACGTGTGTCTCTCAGTTTCCCTCTCTCGGCGGATCCTCCGCGCACGTCGCTCTTGATTGGCGAACCCTTTTTTCACACCCTCGGAGAGCGAGAGATGCGAACATAGCTCAGCCTTGATGGCACAACGCGTTCTCCAGCCGGCTTGATTCCTGGTCGGGGTATGTCCCTGCGCGCTCGATGTTAGCAGGCAGAGGGCTCCCAAACTGACGTCTGACCTGGCCTCGCCTACGCAACAGAGTTGCTGCCCCGACCGTCCATCAGATGCACAAGCAGCAATACCGTTCGCGAGGAAGTCGATCGGGTCTGACCATAGAGTTCCTGTCTAACGGTGCTGGTCGTGACCCTTCTTCTTGGCCAGCACAGGTATTCTGGCAGCGGAGGATGAACAACATAACAAAAGAGGCAGAAGGGAGATGAGGAGGATGAAGAGTGAAAGAAAACAACGCCGCGAAACGAGGGAACGCCCACAGGGCACGCACACTCAGAGGCTGATTCCTGAGCGCGAGGGAAGGGCCGAAGCCCAACGACCTCACAACACACCCACGAGTGGCCGAGGAGGAAGTGGGCGAGGGGGAGGACGGCCCGACGGGGCATCATCGCCCTCACCCCCCCACTGCCGAGCCCAGCGCCAGCGCCAGCTCCCCGAACGGCTCCACGTCCTCGACGCCGATGGGCCGCACCACAGCACCGCTGCCTGTGGATACCATCACCAGGACGGTCGCGTCCCCAGAGATCCAGCGCATTGAAAATCAAGACGGTGTTTTCGGCCCCTAGAGGCCCTCGCTGGGCCTCGGGACCGTCAAACAACGACTCAGGATGAAAAGCCGGTCCTGGGGAATGGGTCGAAACTTCCATGGACCCCGCATTTAAACAATCACGACACCGGATCTCTGGATCCTTCTCCGTCTCCTCGGGGTCGACGTAGAGCGTCACTTCCCGTGGCCGGGGACCACCACGGAGACGTAGGCCGTCGCGAAGACGGGGCGCGGTCGCCATCCCGCAGGCCCGAACGCCTAGGGCGGCGCGGGGGCGGCCGCACATGCCCGTGTCCTTGTCCTGGCCCTGGGGCCACGCCGCCCAGCGCAGCACGCTCGCCCCAGGGGTCACCTCCACGCCCAGCTGCACATCGCCCTCGCCTGCGTCGCCGCACCCGCACCCGCACGGCCTCCTCGCCCGCGGCGGGCGGCGCCGCCGCCGAGAGGCGGCAGCAGGAGAGGCCGCCGCCGTGGGAGGCGCGGCGGGTGCGGGCGGCGCCGGCAGGGCAGGCCTTCGGCGGCCCGCGCGAGGCGCTCCTCCTCCTCCTCCTCCTGCTCCTCCTCCTCCTCCTCCTCCTCCTCCTCCTCCTCCTCCACCTCCTCCTCCTCCTCCTCCCTCCCTCCCTCCCTCCCTCCTCCTCCTCCTCCTCCTCCTCCTCCTCCTCCTCCTCCTCCTCCTCCTCCTCCTCCTCCTCCTCCTCCTCCTCCTCCTGGGCCCTGCAGCAGCGTGCGTGGCCTGGAGCGCGACACATCGCGCAGGGCGGGCAGCCTGCGTACCAGGCGTTGGAGCGACGGCGGCGGGGCCTGCGACGACGATCCTGAGCCGAGATGGCACTCGAGGAGGAGGAGGAGGAGGCGGAGGAGGATGAGGAGGAGGAGGAGGACACGCAAGAGACAGGTTATGCTGAGGAGGACGAACAGCAGCAAGGGTATCGATGCAACGGGCACCTGTTGCATGCTTGCGCAGAGCAGCAAAGCAGCAGGATTAAGGAGGAGGAGGAGAAGAAAGTGGAGGACTGGGATAGAAGAGTGCGGCGAGGACGGGAACAAGAAGGAGGAGGGCACGGAGAACAAGTCCGAGGAGGGGCAAGGGGGACGACGAGGGTGACGGCGACGACGACGACGAGGAAGGTGGAACGAGGGGGGAGGGTGAGGATTATGAGGAGAAAGATGATAGGGAAGAAGAGAGCTGGATGAGAGGGGGGAAAGGTTTGTCGGAGGAAGAGCAGTGTTGAGGAGGAGGAGGAGGCTGAGGAGGACGAGGAGGAGGAGGACGACGAGGAGGAGCAGGAGGAGGAGAGGAGGAAAAGGAGTTGGAGGAGGAGGAGGAGGAGGAGGAGGAGGAGGAGGAGGAGGAGTTGGCCGAGGAGGAGGGGGGGAGTTCGGGTGGGGGAGGAAGTGGGGGCGGATCGAATTGGTGGTCGTAACGGGGGGCCCCTAGGGGACGGGGCGATGGAGGACGCGGCCGCGCCCAGCGGCAGCCCGAAAGAAACCAGGACTGCTACCTGCCATTCTTCCTCCTTCTTCCTCCTCCTGCCTCCGCCTGCATCCTCATCCTTGTCCTGCCTCCTCTTTTTTCTCCTTCCTCCTCGTCCCCCTCCTCCGCCTCCGCCCTCCTCCTCCTCCTCCTAGTCCCCCTCCCCCTCCTCCTGGTCCCCCCCCCTCCACCTTGCTCTTTATCCCTCAGCATTCCCCCTGTCCTCCCTTCCCCTCCCCCCTCGCCCCCAGTGTCGGCGACGAGCCCATGGCGCAGGCGGACGCCAAGAATGATGCCAAGCGTGACGCCTGGAAGGGCGCTAAACGCGCTCTCGGCCTCTTTCGTAGGTGAGCACCCTCCTCGGCCGATGGCGCGGAGGAGCGGGAGGAGGGGAAGCAGGAGGGACAGCCTCGAGGAAGAAAGCACACGGAATAATCATAAACTGCCGGAGCTCCGCGCGGAGTTCTGCGATCTGCGCTGGCCCCCCCCGTGTCGCTTGCCGCGACGCCCTTGTCGCGCTCTGCGCGCCAGGGAGGGCTGTTCCAGCGCGGATGCCAGAACTCCGCGCGGAGCTTCGAGAGCTTGTGCATACAGAAGGGCTGCTGAAGTCAGGAACTCCACGAGCGAAGCCCGTTTGGTGCGCCAACAGTGTCCGTGTGCACGAGGAGGGCTAGAGGAACGACCACGAAACGATCTGAGGAACAGCGACCCCTCTCCCAGCCCAAAGCGGTCCTCATTCCATCGTCATGAAGGTCAGCTTTTTTTATCCGGGTTTCGACATTTGGCCGAAGGGTGGGGGGTGGGGGAAGGTTTTTGCCTGGGCTGGTGCTCCGTGTGCCTGCCTTGACCAGGCGCGCAAGCAGATTGGGGTGGAGGGGCCCCGACCAGTCGCAAGAGACAGCCGCCAAGAGCGGCCAAAATCTGGTCTACGAGGGGGGGTGAGATGGGGGGGCCGCGCCGATCGGCGAAGCAAACCATCAAACAACGGCGGCTTGACTCCGGGCGGGCCAACCGCCGCCGCCCCCAAGCCCGCGAGCGCTCTCGGGGGCGTCAGTCTCGCGGCACCGGAGCGCTCACGGCCGTTCTGCTGGCTCCAGCGTAACTTATTTTAGTTTGGTGCAGAAGCCCCGAAGCGCGCGGGTGTTGTTGCTTGTCCTCCTCCTCCTCCTCCGTCTCCTCCTCCTCCTCCGCCTCCTCCTCCTCTTCCTCCTGCTCCTCCTCGTCCTCCTCCTCGTCCTCCTCCTCCTCCTCCTCCGCCTCCTCCTCCGCCTCCTCTCTCTCTCGGCCTGAGGGTTCGTCGAACGCGGCCCTCTCCCCCCCTGGTGGAATGCGCAAAGGCCACGGGCCTGTATCTCCCCCTGCCCTCCCACAACAGCCTCCATAAGGAGCCCATCAGTCCTACGACGGCTCCTCCTCGTCGTCCTTCTCCCAAACATGCTCGCGTCGTGGAGAAATCGCAGCAGTAGGTTTCGGGCCGTTTTCGGCTTCTGGGGGCCCTCAGCGGGCCACGAGACAATCGATAGATGATCTGGGATGGATAGCCGTGCCCGCGGAGAGCGTCGGGACTGCTTGGGCACCCGTAGTTGTACAACAATCCACAGATCGCATGTTTGGGTCCTTCGCCTCACTACCGTCCCTCCTCCCCTCCTCGCTCCCCCGCTTTCCCTCCTGCGCCTCTTCCCGCCTCGATCTTCCGCTATTCCGCCCTTCCCCCTCCCCCCTATCGTGCTCGTATCCTTCCGCTGCGCATGCTCTGCCGATCATTTCGACCTCGCGTCTGGCATTCCTTCCTTGTTCCCAACCATCCTGTGGTGTTGGGTCCTCGTTGTGAAGAGACGGTGCCCCGCGTCTCCTCCCGCTGCCCCCTCCTCCTCCCCCTCCTCCCTCCTCCCTGCGTTTCACCCACCCAGTACAGCGCTTCGTGGCCCCATAGGGAGCTCCACTGAAGGCCCCAATGGCAGGGTTCGCATGGCGGCCCCGCGTTTTGGCGCTCCCCTCACACGGTTCGTAGCCCCATAGGGAGCTCCACTGAAAGGCCCCGGTGGCAGGGTTCGCATGGCGGCCCCGCACCATTTTGGCGCACCCTTCACACGGTTCGTGGCCCCATAGGGGGTTCCACCGAAAGCCCCAGTGGCAGGGTTCGCATGGCGGCCCCGCGCCATTTTGGCGCACCCCTCACGGTTCGTGGCCCCATAGGGAGCTCCACCGATGGCCCCAGAGGCAGGGTTCGCATGGCGGCCCCGCACCATTTTGGCGCACCCTTCACACGGTTCGTGGCCCCATAGGGGGTTCCACCGAAAGGCCCCAGTGGCAGGGTTCGCATGGCGGCCCCGCGCCATTTTGGCGCACCCCTCGCACGGTTCTTGGCCCCATAGGGGGCTCCACCGAAGGCCCCAGAGGCAGGGTTCGCATGGCGGCCCCGCGCCAGTTTGGTGCACCCCTCACACGGGTCGTGGCCCCATAGGGAGCTCCACCGAAGGCCCCCGTGGCAGGGTTCGCATGGCGGCCCCGCACCATTTTGACGCACCCCTCACGCGGTTCGTGGCCCCATAAGGAGCTCCACCGAAGGCCCCAGTGGCAGGGTTCGCACGGCGGCCCCGCGCCAGTTTGGTGCACCCCTCACGCGGTTCGTGGCCCCATAGGGAGCTCCACCGAAGGCACCAGTGGCAGGGTTCGCATGGCGGCCCCGCGCCATTTTGCGCACCCCTCGCACGGTTTGTGGCCCCATAGGGGGCTCCACCGAAGGCCCCAGAGGCAGGTCTCGCATGGCGGCCCCGCGCCAGTTTGGTGCACCCCTCACACGGTTCGTGGCCTCATAGGGAGCTCCACCGGAGGCCCCAGAGGCAGGGTTCGCATGGCGGCCCCGCACCATTTTGGCGCACCTCTCACGCGGTTCGTGGCCCCATAGGGAGCTCCACCGAAGGCCCCAGTGGCATGGTTCGCACGGCGGCCCCGCGCCAGTTTGGTGCACCCCTCGCACGGTTCGTGGCCCCATGAGGAATTCCCCTTGCTTCGTCCCACCTGCCCTGCGGTTTTCACACTTGCGCATGGTTGGGTCCTTCGCCTGGATAGTTTTTGTTTACGTCTGTCCTTCTCCTCCTTCCTGGTTCCTGTCGTTCCTGCTGTTTCTTCCCCTTGCCTTCGTCCTTCCTCCTCCTCCTCCTCCTCCTGCTCCTCCTGCTCCCCCTCGTCCTCCTCCTCCTTCTCATCCTCGTCCTTCTCGCCAAGCGGGGTCCAGCGGAGACTCGCCTCGTCTTGACTTGTTGTCATTTCGACGTCGTTCCTCCTGATCCTCGTTCCTTGTCCTCCCATCCATCATTTCACACCTCATCTTCGTCTTTATGACTCAGCTGCTAGTGCTGATCACTCCTCCTCCTCCTCCTCCTCCTCCTCCTCCTCCTCCTCCTCCTCCTTCTCCTGTTCATGCACCTGCTCCCCATCTTCCTCGTCCAGCTCCCTTTCCTCCCGCCTGTCATGTCCCTGCCCCTCGTCCTCATCCTCCCCCTCATCTTCATCATCCTCATCCTCTTCCACTGCCTTCTCATCCTTCTCTTTCTCCCTGACGGCCGTATACTAGTTGCGGGACGTACACGGGTGGCCGTTTATATGAGCTTGATCCAGCACGTAGATCGTTGTGCTTGGTTCGGCAGCACGTTCTTTGTTTCGGCAGCGCCTCCCCCTGCCCCTGTTGTTCCTCTTCCTCCAGCTCCTCCAGTCCTCTTCTTCCTCCTCCTCCTCCTCCTCTCCCTTCCTCCTCCTCCTCCCCCTCCTCCTACCCTCCTCCTCCTCCTTCTCCTCCCCTCCTCCTCCTGCTCCTGCTCCTCCTCCTCCTCATCCTGCTCCTCCTCCTCCTCCCCTTCCTCCTCTTCTTCCTCCCCCCCTCCACAATTACACAATCTGAATACTACCTTCCTCTCTCCCATGGTGGCGTCCGGGAAATGTTCGGCCCCCCGCCACGTACTGGTCCTTTTCACCAGATTTCTGGGAGTTGTGTTTTCAGTTGGGTTTTCTTTCAAAATAATGCTCTCGCTGAAGCGCTGGCCTCATTTTCGGGCTGCCGCTCGTTCCGAATCGTGCTCCCGCTGCAGCGCTGGCCTCGTTTCCATGCTTCTGCTTGTCTCCGAATCGTGCTCCCGCTGCAGCGTTGGCGTCAGTATTTCCAGCGCCATGCCACGACATGGTTGTCGGTCCTTCCAAATAGGCCCCCACATTTGGAAACTGGCCGCCCCACACAGCAGACACATCGGGAGTGATTACACATTCGGCGGCGGTTCTTTAATTTGTGGTGCCGCAGAAGCCCCCCCCCCCATTCGGGGGCGCCGCCACGCCATGCTATGTCATGCTACTCGTTGCTCTTCAAAGCCATGCTATACCATGTAATGCTATGCCATGCTACGACATCCGATTGTGCGAATCGAGAGGGTATCTACGCCATGGTAAGGGACGGGACGGAGGGGTAGGACGTCAGATATGACGCGAGCGCACTTGGGTTGTCATCCTCCTGCTCCTCCTCCTCCTGCTCCTGCTCCTCTTCGCATCTGCGGCAAATCCGCCACCGTCCCAGCGAAGCACCTTGTGTGGCGGCCCTCCAAGCACCGCCTTGCAGGCCGTCACCTGCGACGCCTCCAGTGTTCACGTCCTTAGGGGCTCCTCCTCATCCTCTTCCTCCTCATCCTCCTCCTGCGTCCTCCTCCTCCTCCTGCGTCCTACTCCTCCTCCTCCTCCTCCTCCTCCTCCTCCTCCTCTCCTCCTCCTCCTCCTCCTATCCTACTCCTCTACTCCCTACTCCTACTTACTCCCCTCTCCCTCCTCCTGTCCTCCTCCTCCTCCTCCCCTCCTCCTCCTCCTCCTCCTCCTCCTCCTCCTCCTCCCCCCTCCTACTCCTCCTCCTCACCCGCGTGGACGGCAAGCCCCTTGCGTCAGAATGCACGGATGTTATCCGTAATGGCAGAGAGAGTGTAAGCCGCATCGAGGTAGGCAAGTGCCCCTGCAGAGCGGGAGGCCCCGAAGGACCTTCAGACTGCCCTCGCTGCGCGTGGCGCAGGCGGCCCGACGAGTGGAGTCTCCTCTGCGTCCCCTGGGGACGCGGGCGGCCAGTCCGCTCTGGCAGCTGGTCCCGATCCCCCCCGCCATGGGGGAACGGATGACTGGCTGTCGTGGCGGTGCGGTGGTGGCCAGGCCCTGGTCTTGCCAGGGCTTGGGCTCCATCGTGGTCGTGCGGGGGTCGCCCTCGTCCTCCCCGCCACCCCCCCAGCACGGCCCTCCTGTGCTTGGCCAAGAGGTCCAACAGGGTCCTCCTCCTCATCATCATTCCTCCTGCTCGACCTCAGTTTCGCAGCCCCAGGACTGAC